CCATGATCATGTGATCGAAATTCAGACACTGGGCAACTGGTTCATACTTATGATGGTTGCATACTTATGATGGGGGGGCGGGTTCGGGGGTCACGTGATCCCCTTTTGCAACCTTCTGACAAGCAAAGTCAATGGGGAAGCCGGATTCACTTAACAACCGCATTGCTGACTTAACAACTGCAGTGATACAACTTAACAACTTTAGCAAGAAAGATTGTAAAATGTGGCAAAATTTACTTAACAACTGTCTGGTTTAGCAAGAGAAATTTTGGACTTGGTTATGGACTAAGGGGACATGGTGGCTCAGTGGCTAAGACACTGAGCTTGTCAATCAGAAAGGTCGACAGTTTGGCGGTTCGAATCCCTAGCAGTGCATGACAGAGTGCGCTCCCGTTACTTGTCCCAGCTTCTGCCAGCCTAGCAGTTCGAAAGCATGTAAAAAATGGAAGTAGAAAAATAGGGCCACCTTTGGTGGGAAGGTAGCAGCGTTCTGTGTGCCTTTGACATTTAGTCGTGCCGGCCACATGACCACGGAGACGTCTTTGGACAGTGCTGGCTCTTTGGCTTTGAAACAGAGATGAGCACCGCCCCCTAGAGTTGGGAACAACTAGCACATATGTGTGAGGGGAACATTTACCTTTTACCTTTTATGGACTACCTGTACATATGTGTCTCTGAATTTATGTCTCTAAGGGCCACTGGAGGCATGTTCTGGGGATGGAGTTGTTGTTTTTTTCCCCAGAATTGCACTAATTTGGAATAATGTGGGAGATGATTCAGCCATTTTAAATATCAGCTTTGGAGGCTTAAACTGTAATGCTCCGATCCATTCTGTCTTTGCAAGCATCCCTTCCCCCAAATCTTAAATAATGCACTGAAGAAATTGGCTTTTTGTAAATTAAATTTGGACAAAGTGGTCCCAAATTGTCAAGGAATTGGAAAGTGGAGGCTGGGGTCAGACCATGAGCTATTCTTTGATTGCAGCAATAAGGCAGGGCTGAAGAGAGCAGCCAATATTCCAAAGAGAATACTGGAAAAATAAAAAAATATTGGAAAAAGGGAATAATAAAAATCCAATGTGGGTACGTAGGTGGGGTGTAAAGGATTGTGCATGTCATGGAAAAAGTGAGTATAGCAACTCCGTGACTCTCAAATAATTTTAACAAAGCATTCCACTTCAAAAATGTCAATGGAAAGGTGGCAATTCTATGCAGATACACATTTTTAAGTAGACATTATTCCAGAACACACAAAAGCTAATCAAAATTGAACTTAGTCATGGAGTTAATTATGCTTCAAATAGACCCAGGGAAATCAAGGGCTCTTACATTAATGATAGCTATGTCCCCTTGATACCAAGGAAGCGTCTCTAAGTATGATCAATATTATTATTGTGTTCCCAAAATCCCTGAAGTTATCCTTCCTTCCTTCCTTCCTTCTTTCCTTCCTTCCTTCCTTCCTTCCTTCCTTCCTTCCTTCCTTCCTTCCTTCCTTCCTCCCCCTCCCTCCCTCCTTCCCTTTCCTTCTTTTTTCTTTCTTCTTCCTTCCTTCCTTCCTTCCTTCCCTCCTTCTTTCTTCTCTGTCTCTGTCTCTGTCTCTCTCTCCTTCCTTCCTCCTCCCTTTCTTTCTTTCTTTCTTTCTTTCTTTCTTTCTTTTCTTCTTTCTTTCCTTCTCTTCCTTCCTTCCTTCCTTTCTTCTCTCTCTCTCTTCTCTGTCTCTGTCTGTCTCTGTCTCTTTCCTTCCTTCCTTCTACTCCTCCTTCCTTTCTTTCTTTCTTTCCTTCCTTCCTTCTTTCTTTCCTTCCTTCCTTCTTTCCTTCCTCTTGCTTCCTTGCTTCCTTCCTTGCTTCCTTTCTTCACTCTCTCTCTTCTCTGTCTCTGTCTCTGTCTCTGTCTCTCTCTCTCTCTCTCTCTCTCTCTCCCTCCCTCCCTCCTCCTCCTCCCTCCATCCATCCATCCCCTTTCTATCCTATATATTTTGGAACTGATAGCTTTTGAATCAGAAGCAGGCTTCTTTGGTTTCATAAATTATATGCAAGCATGGTACTAAGGAAGTATTTGCTGTTCCAAAAAAAGGACCTGGATGTTCAGGATGTTACCAAATTCACTTTTGTTTTTGACTTCAGTAAATCCTGCAAATTCTGTGCAACTGATATATAGATAAGGTGAATTCAGTCCCCATGAATATTCTCTCCAGTTTTCCTTCACTGCAGTGGGTTTAATTCTTGACTTTGCCCTCTTGTATATCTGATTTCCAGAAAAATGAAGTAGTAGTAGTAGTAGTAGTAGTAGTAGTAGTAGTAGTAGAAGTAGTAGTAATGATGATGATGATGATGATTGGAGCCCTTGGAGCAATACCCAAAGGGCTACCCTGCTATTTAGAAATTCTCAATTTGCCGGACTTGAACATTTTGACTCTACAAAACACCACCTTACTCGGAACAGCTTACATCCTCCGATGATACCTTAACAGTTCCTAGGTCCTTGGTTAGGACTCGAGCTGCTGAGCTATTAACCAGCCTCAAAGGCTGTGAATCTCACTAAAGATTAAATCATCATCATCATCATCATCATCATCATCATCATCATCCAGTGCAGGTGGTCCCAGTGGTACTCGGCACACTGGGTGCCTAAAGACCTAGGCAAGCACTTAAAAACAATTGGCACTGACAAGATCGCCACTGGTCAGCTGCAGAGGGCCACCTTACTGGGATCTGCTCGCATAATCCGCCAATACATCACGGAGTCCTAAACGCTTGGGAAGTGTTCGACTAGTGATTTGGGATACCAAATCCAGCATGGTCATCTCGTTTGCTGTGAATACTCTCATTTTTGTGTATATAACAACAACAACAACAACAACAACAATAAAAATCCTAAACATAGTTTAAACCTCAGTAACTAATATTAGATTCCAATAAAAGGAAATATAAAATCACAAAACCACATCTCTCTTATTTTGGCCATTTTATGTGGGGGAATTCACTGGAGAAAACAATTATGTTTGGAAGAATTAGTGGTAAAAGGAAACCAGGCTGCCAAAAAAAAAAAAAAAAAAAAAAAACAATGGATGAACACCATCAAAAATGATACCAGCCAGAGCATAGAAAAACTCAAGAGAAGTAGTGCAAAATCAGAAGATGTGGAGAGATTGGTCCATAGAATTGCCAAGAGTCAGATACAACTCAATGGATAACATCATCCTCAGAAGGGAATATATGTAGCTCAGGGATTAACTATGAAGTCCTTGGTACTCTTTGAGTTTGGTTGTTTGCTTAAAGACATTTAATTACCCAACTAAATAACAGCATCAGTGTTACTGGATGTGGAACTTCCTCCCTATTTATATATATTAGCTTGGCCTGTCTGTGTTTCTGGGGTTTTTCTTCTTGGTAGTTCCTTGATTAGGGTATTGTTTTCTACCTGGATTTGTCTGGTGTTAACCCTATTTTATCTGGGTGTTGTTTGCTGGAGATAATGTGTTCTGGACTTTTTGCTGCCTTCTTAGCATTTTTACTATCTCTTTTCAATGGTGTATAAATGTGAACTACTGATGACTGATTTATCTCTATGGGATATCTCTTTAAGCAGAGGTGGGTTTCAGCAGGTTCTGACCAGTTCTGGAGAACTGATAGTGGAAATTTTGAGTAGTTCGGAGAACCAGTAAACACCACCTCTGACTGGTCCCACCCCCATCTATTCTCTGCCTCCTGAGTCCCACCTGATTGGGAGGAAATGGGGATTTTGCAGTATCCTTCCCCTGGAGTGGGGAAGGAATGGAGATTTTACAGTATCCTTCCCCTGCCATGCCCACCAAGCCATGCCCACCAAGTCATGCCATGCCCACCAAGCCACACCCACAGAACCAGTAGTAAAAATTTTTGAAGCCCACCACTGTCTTTAAGCCAACTCAGAAAGCTCAGGCTGCCCAAGGGGCTGCTGATACAGTTCTACAGAGGAATTATTCAGTCTGTCATATGTACCTCTATAAGTGTCTGGTTTGGCACTGCAACCAATCAAGGCAAACACAAACTTCAACGGATAATTAGAAATTCATGGGAAAAAAATTGCTACCACTCTACCTTCCATTGAGGTCCTGTATACTGCACAAGTCAAAAAGAGGGCTGTGAAAATATCTACAGACTCCTCGCATTCTGGACATAAACCATTTCCACTGCTACCCTCAAAATGATGCTACAGGGCACTGCATATCAGAACAACTAGACAAAACAAGGACAGTTTTTTCCCCCATACCATCACTCTGCTAAACAACTAATTTCTACAACACTGTCAAACTATCTAAAAAGGCAGTATTATCATTATTCTCATCTTTCCTATTACCTATCTCCTTATCTTATGACTATAACTTTGTTGCTTATTGCTATTGTTGTATGTACATTGAGACGCACCAGAAACAAATTTCTTGTGTGTCTAATCACACTTGGCCAATAAATAATTCTATTTATCTTCTGTCTATCTCTTTACGTCTATTACGGTTGATTTATCGCTATGATTTAACTCTATGTGTCTCTTGATTCATTATCTCTATGTGTCTATTGAACAGCTTTTTCTCATAAAGGAATTCAAGCTCCCATGTGCATATGTAATTAATTTTGGATAGCGCCTTGAGTCTTCTAACTTTTTTTTTTTTAAAAAAATCATTTCTAAAAAGTAGATTCCCAAAACTATTCAACAGGGATGTTGAATTTCATGTCACCATACCCTAAGCTTGAGTCCTTCATATCTAGAGGTGGGATTCACTTACCTTCCCTACCGGTTCACAAATGTGAGCACATGTTCCATCTTCCATGCATGCTCGGCCTTCCGCACATAGTCTTTGCTAGTGTGCATGCCTTCTGAGCGTGTGCACGCCCTCCAAAATGTGACGAAATAGGACGACATTACGTCTGGGCAGGTGGATGGGGCCTACCGGAGTCGCTGCTACCGATTTGCCCGAACCGGACAGAACCGGCTGAATCCCACCACTGTTTATATCTTAGTTTTCAAGTTTGTAAGACTTAACTAATTATTTGAAAGAATAAATAAAAACAGAACCCTATGTTCCTCCCTACCAACAGTTTAGTCAATCCTTACCATCCAATTCTTCCACTGAGATGTTGGCCAACTGTTCACTGTCGCTTCCTGCTGAGAGGGACCGGTTCAGATAGTTTCCCTTGTACAGCAGCCCAGCCGTGACATGATGGAATGGCATCTTCTCCCTAATGGTAGAAAGACAGGAAAAGATTCTCACATTCTCATTCATCTCTAGAACCCAAAGCACAGCATATTAGAAATAACAAGTGATGCCAAGTATTAAAATACTTGATATTACACATTATAACAGCCGCCCGTATAGTTTATGCCCAAAATTGGAAAAAAGAAAATATACCAACAGATGAAGAATTGATCAAAAAATTTTTTTCAATGTGCCGAAATGGATAAATTAACAAAATAACTTAAAAGGAGGATATGGAATATTATATAATTTGGCATAAATAGTATAAGTGGCTGGAGGATAGGAAAAATGAAGAAGAAAAATAGTGGGGAAAGATAGAAAGACTAGAAAGTAAAGAAAGAATTTATTAAAGTATAAAAATCAGAAAATTGGTATGAATGATGAGAAATATGCTGTAATTAAAAATGAAAGGGACTGGAAGGATTTATATTCCTTGCAGACAGCTGGTCATTTGCATCCTTTTAGAGGGTCATTGAAGCACTTGGAGGTTGATCTGTGTCCTCGGGGTCACCTGTAGTCTGCATTTTTTTCCCCTCTGGAAATCCGTTCCTACTCCCACACCATCCAAAGGGTGTTCATCCCAAATTGTGTAGCTAAAATTCTGTAGAGATTCTCAGTCATCCAGGTCATGGTTGTCCCAAAGGTGCTTTTTCTGGAGGCAGAATGGACTACAAGAAAAAATTGCAGACTACAGGAACCAGGAGCACTAGTCAGGTTGAAGCAGGGGTGAAATGCTCCCGGTTCAGACCGGATCACCCAATCTGGTAGCGATGGCGGCAGGTGGTTCGGAGAACCGGTAGCAAAAATCCCTGGCCACCCCCCCCCATGTCCAGTTGAGCCGCGCGATCATCAGAGCTTTTTAAAAATTATTTTTAAAAGCATTTTTTCTACAACCTCTTCGGCCAAAAAAATGTTTCTAAAGGGAAAAAAAAAAGCCTCTGACGATCAGGCAACTCAGCTGGGATCGTCAGAGGCTTTTAAAAGCATTTTTTTACAACCTCTTCGGCCGAAGAGGTTATAGAAAAATGGTTTTAAAAGTTAAAAAAAAAAAAAGTTGGCCACACCCACTCAGTCACATTAACCCCCCCCACCACCAAGCCACGCCCACAGAACCGGTAGTAACAAATTTTACATTTCACCACTGGATTGAGGACTATCTGTACTTCACAATGTGCCATATTCCTGCACTGATTCACCTGATGAACTTTAGCAAGGAACAAAAAATACATTAAAGGCATTACTTCACAAGCCATCTCCAGCAATCAACTCTTCCAAATGCTTCCCCAATGGTGCCACACGCAGCCAGAAAATAAATACTGTCTTTTGAAAAATACTTCGCATTTTGAGAAAAAGTACGCAATCAATTTGAAAGAAGGATTTTTTCCCCCCAGAAAATACATCAAAAACGAATCAGATGCAGCCGTAAGTGTCCAATGATATCAAAATGATGAGAAATTCATTGTAATGTCATTGCATAAATAATTAAGTAATCTCCATCAACTGCACGCTGTCTGATACCGAATACAAAATTTTCATCATTTGCCTGACAGCATTGTGACTCACAATGTCATTTACTTCTCTCCTGCAGCCAGCAGATATCTATAAGTTAATAGAATAATAGAATAACAGAGTTGGAAGGGATCTTGGAGGTCTTCTCATCCAACCCCCTGTTCAAGCAGGAATCCCTATATCATTTCAGACAAATGGATACAAGTCATTCCACTGATTAATTTCCAGACCACCAGGAAATTTCTCCCTAGTTCCAGGTTGCTTCTCTCCTTGATTAGTTTCCACCCATTGCTTCTTGTCCTGCCCTCAGGTGCTTTGGAGAATAGCTTGACCCCTCTTCTTTGTGGCAGCCCCTGAGATATTGGAACACTGCTATCATGTCTCTCCTAGTCCTTCTTTTCATTAAACTAGACATACCCAGTTCCTGCAACTGTTCTTTATATGTTTTCCTAAGTAACCCATGCAAGTTGACCCATTAGTTGTCACGTGAAATCAGCTAAGAGCTAAGAGCAGCTGCTGCTAAGTCAACACAGTTCTAGGCTGCATAAACAGAGGGATAGAATCAAGATGACATGAAGTGCTAATACCACTTTATAATGCCTTGGTAAGGCCACACTTGGAATACTGTATTCAGCTTTGGTCGCCACGATGTAAAAATGATGTGGAGACTCTAGAAATTGCAGAGAAGAGCAACGAAGATGATTAGGAGACCAGAGGATAACACATATAAAGAACGGTTGCAGGAATTGGGTATGTCTAGTCTGATGAAAAGGACTAGGGGAGTCAGGATAGCAGCGTTCCAATATCTCAGGGGCTGCCACAAAGAAGAGGGAGTCAAGCTATTTTCCAAAGCACCTGAGGGCAGGACAAGAAGGAATGGGTGGAAACTAATCAAGGAGAGAAGCAACTTAGGAGAAATTTCCTGACAGTTAGAACATTTAATCAGTGGAACAACTTGCCTCCAGAAGTTGTGAATGCTCCAACACTGGAAGTTTTTAAGAAGAGGTTGGATAACCATTTGTCTGAAGTGGTGTAGGGTTTCCTGCCTAAGCAGGGGCTTGGACTAGAAGACCTCCAAGGTCCCTTCCAACTCTGTTATTCTATTCTATTCTATTCTATTCTATTCTATTCTATTCTATTCTATTCTATTCTATTCTATTCTATTCTATTCTATTCTATTCTATTCCATTCCATTCCATTCCACTCCACTCCACTCCATTCCATTCCACTCCACTCCACTCCACTCCACTCCACTCCACTCCATTCCATTCCATTCCATTCCATTCCATTCCATTCCATTCCATTCCATTCCACTCCACTCCACTCCACTCCACTCCACTCCACTCCACTCCACTCCATTCCATTCCATTCCATTCCACTCCACTCCACTCCACTCCACTCCACTCCACTCCACTCCACTCCATTCCATTCCATTCCATTCCATTCCATTCCATTCTATTCTATTCTATTCTACCAATGCTTTGGTAAAATTCCTTCCTTGAGCCTTTTTTGTATTAGGAAGCATGGTAGCTTCCAAGATTGCAGAGTGTTTGGGCACAATATAGGTAGAATGGTGGGGGGGGGGAAATCCTTAGTAACTGGACATCAGGAGGAGTAATACTTAGCCTAACACTTAACTGCTAACCATGTTAATGTTTTACCAATAGAAGATATTATTTGCTGTTCAGGGTTTAATGGTGGGGTCAACAACAGCTTAACTGAGGAACTACCAAGAACACTCCCACCAATACTGGTTCATAAACCAAGAGCGAACCCCACTTCCTTCTAGCACTGATGACATTACCTAGTTGGGTAATAAAACGTCTGCAAGGAAATAACCAAGCTTGAAGAACACCAATGTCTCACATCCAAAGTCATGCTCTATGAATGAATAATAATTGAATAATAATGAATCTTATAATTGGGGTTTTTAAATTTTGTTTTCTGGGCCAAATTATTTAATTGTATTTTAATGATTTTTTAACATTTGTATTATATGTATTTTATCTTTTGGCTGTTCACTGCCCTGAGTCCTTCAGGAGTAGGGCGGTATATAAATTCAATCAATCAATCAATCAATCAATCAATCAATCAATCAATGACCGGAAACAAAGTAGGCTGATTGGATTTTGCTCATTTTTCAAAACCTGAAATCAAATGCATCCTCTTTGAAACAGGAGGGCTCCAGTTTGGTAGGCAAGGAACGTAAAAGAAAACTTAGAAGCTTGTTATTATATATGCGGACAGTGGAAAGAATCTTATATGCACAAGATGGAAAGAGCCATTAATTCCTACAATGGAAGAGTAGATGGTAAAAGTGATAAGAGAGCCGGTGGAGATGGCAAAACTAACTTCTTTTAACTAAAGAGAAGAATTCATCTAGTTTGGTTTTTACTCAGAAACCACTTCTGGACTTTTTGCTCAAAACTGGGGGAAAAAATGAAACGTCGATTTTAGGTTTGGATGATTTGGATGATTTTTGTTATTACGGAAATGGTTTGAAATGTTGCAAAACGCAGAGCAAGGTTGTAATTTTGGTGTTTTACTGGAGTGAAAAAAGTAAAAAATTACCTCTTTCTTCTCTCCAATTGCACTTTTTCTTTCTCTTACTTTTCTAACTTTTGGAGGGTTTTTTTTTTTTTTTGTATTTTTATTTTATAACAAAACTCAATAAAGAATTATATACAAAAGAAATAGGAGGGCTCCTTAAGCCCTTTTAACCCCGTCTAAATTTATTTAAAGGCACCACGGTGCATGAAATTGCCTGGAAGTGTCTTTCCAGCAGCTACATAAATTCATCTTTCAGCTTTAAAATGCTATTAAATTTGAGGCTGTTAATATATATATATATATATATATATATATATATATATATATATATATATATATATATATATATATATATTCCCCCATTTCTGTATTACAAAACCGCAGTGGCTGTGCCCACATCAGGCCCACTCCTAACTACCCCGCTGCTGCCAATGAAGCCATTTTGTGTCACAATTCATCAAAACTGAACTTCCCAAGTGCCAATGTATGAATTAAAGAGGGCATCGCAGGTGAGGCCCCATTAATGGTTTGCCAATTCTAAATTGCTGGCTAGAGTTAATGATGACAGTGGCCGTTGTGCTTAAAAACTTAATTTAATTAACATGAGTTGGAACCGGATATTAAACACTTATGGCTTAAATTAAAACACAGCTCAGAGTTCACACCCTCAGCTGATTGCTTCTTCTTTGGCATCTTTGATCTATTTGGTGACAATATTTTCAGTCTTCAGGGGCTTTTATTACTTCAAAAATATCCCGAGCCCGTAGAAGTATGCATAAATAAAACACATTTTATTTCTTAGCAAACAGAAATGGAATCTACCTGCTAAGCTTGTAACAGTATAGACTAGGGCAAAGGTGTCAAACTCAATTTCATTGAGGGCCACATCAAAGTTGTGTTTGACCTCAGGGGGCCGGGGTGGGC